CTGCAGAGCAATACAAAGCAGCATGCTGGAGCTGACGGGAGAGATTTGTATTGTTTACATACTGACCTCTCCTCTGTCAGTGTTCCTCGGCAATCGCCGACTCGGAATCTCCGACCGACACTGAAGGTGACAACTGGAGCTGGCGATGGTGGCGCGGGTAGAGCAGAGCGCCCCCTACCCAGAAATACAAAATCACATATATACGTGATTTTGCACAGCCCTGTAGCAGTAGTTCTGCTATATGGCGGCCAGGAAGCGGTTAATGTCAGTGTTCAGCTGGGCAGGTCTTTGGTCACATGAACGGCTAGGGGGCGGTAATGCCAGGTGGTCGAGCTGCGGTTTTACCGCCCCCTGGCCTGCTCATGCAAACAAAATCTGACCTTGTGGTCCCCCTCGTAACTTATCTTCACCTGGTCCACTTCCTGGTCTGTAGTTTTTTGCCCACCAAGAATGTCCGGGCCCACGATGCCAGAACTTCGTTACCCCAGTACGCAATCGTGCTGGGGTTGGAAAAAAAAAATGCTAACAGAATGGGATAAGTATTTCTGATAAAAGAGACATACAGAGTTTCCTCTGACAAATGTTTCACGTCAGGGATTTTTTTTTTTCCACTATAACACAGCAGCTTAAACCGGAGTCCCCTGTAAAATAGTTTGTAACTGGTTGTGGAATTTCTTTTGATCCCTCGAAAAGAAAGCATGTGGCTAGGGAAAGAAAAAAACAAAAACCACCTGATCATTTCTAACAGGGTATTATAGTGTGTGGAATATGGATCTGTATTCTGGGAAGCACTTATTTTTCTTCTTTGACGTGTTATTTAGACCTCATGCACACAGGGAATTTTTGCAGCCACTTTTAGGGGCGTCAGGCATTTTTTTTTGTTTGTAAACGACCCTCAATGTTATTGTATGTGTCCATACACACACAGACTTTTAGGAGCTTTTAGTGGCAGGGGCGTTTACCAGCAGGAGAAAAAAAAAAAAACCCCCCAGGGCCAGTGCATCCAGGGGCAGCAGTCCTTTGGCAGAAAAAAACGCTTGGCGCTGCTAAACGCATTTACACGAGTGTTATCGTTCGGCGCGTTTTAGCACTTGAGCATTAATTTCAATGGTCAGAATAAGGGGCGGACTGACAACTCATGGGGCCCCCGGGCAATAGGGGATCATGGGGCCCCTGTGTCCTTGCACAAACTCAAAAAAGCCTATGAAAAAGGTAGCAGGCGCATCTCATGGGGCCCCCTACTGACCCCCGGGCCCTCGGGCAGTGCCCGAGTTTCCAAAAAATGGTCAGTCCGCCCCTGGTCAGAATAAATTATTATTCTGGCCAATGAAATGAATTAAAGCCCAAGCGCTTGACGCCTGTAAATGCAACTAAATGTATTACTTTTACATCCGTCAGATGTTTTTTCAGCAAAAACGCTGCTCCCAGGAAGAAGGCTTCTAGGAGAGTTTTTTTGGATTAAACCCTCAGTGTTTTTTGGTTTAACACACCGAACGTAATAAAATAAGCATTCCCCGGTTAAATATTTTACAGCTTTCAATGCTGCTGGCTCCTGCTCCCTCAGCGCTGCTTCCCTGAACTTCCAGTCTTTACAGCAAAGCGGTAACAGTGGACAGTGCAGTCTCCAGTCAGTGTTAGTTTGAAGAAAGCGCTGAGCAAACTGTTGGCGCTATATAAATCCTGTATAATAATAATAAAAAAGAAGGGAAGAGGGGGAAGGAGGGAGGGCTTTGCTGTCCTAGGCTGTGAATCTGTGTGTTTCCATTGATGCACACAGTATAGGGAGGCAAGGGTGGCTCCATAGGATGCTGCAAGGGGCAGGACCCACCCTGAAAGAGGAAACTTGGGGCAGAGCTCATGGCACCAGCTTAAAATGGAACACAGGCAAAGATTAAGATAAAGACGCTGTATACTCTGTAAATAACTAAATCAGCTGCTGAAAGTGCTTAAAAAATCCCCCATTGTCATTGTTAAAATGTTACGAAACCCACGACCCTGCATTCACTATCAGGTCTCCCACAGGACATGGAAATGCAATTATTTTAGTAAATATAAACTGCTAAATACCTTTTCTCAGCAGCAGATAGATAACAGTCTTGTGACTTCTATCAGTGTCCAGCAGAGTACTGGTTAAAGCTTGTAAGAGGAGTTTTCATTCTCCCCTGAATGTCCTATGAGTCTGCATAACCCCGACCCCCTGTCTGGACAGAGCTGATTGGCCCTGTGCTGATCACATGCACCCTCCCAAAGAAAAAAAGAAAACTCTCTAGCAATTCACACCAAACTGAGCATGTTCAGCTTGCCCCCAAGGCTCTGTTCTATCAGCAGTTGGATTGGGGACAGGAGAAGGTGAGGATCAGAGAAGACAGGATCAAACAGCCTTTTTAAACAATGCACAGGATTAACCCCTTAGGTTGCACAGTGAGTATAACAAGCATGCTTTACTGCATATACAGACTGATTTTATTGTTGTGGGTTTAGTAACACTTTGATGATGATGGGGAATCCTTCCGGCAGTGCTATTGTGTACTGCAGACAGGATGTCTTCCTGATCACTGCTGGTGGCTAGAGCTGCTGGCAGTGATCGCATGTACAAAATCCGACAAGCTGGTTGTATCCAAATCAATTGATGGATTGACTTCAGTACAACCAGGGCAGGGTGCCCATAGATGGATTGAACCTTGGCCAGTCCATGCTGAACCAGCTGATATTCGATCCATCAATGACCGGCTTAAGTGCTTTCCAATCAAATCAAAAGCTGGTTGAATAGCTATGAACTAAGAGTTGATGGATTCATCATTGATCTTCTTACTGAAAAACCAAATAAAAAAAGTATGTTTGCATAATACATTGTGATTGGATATAACATTAGTAATTATACGCAGCAATGAGAAATATTCTAGACATATAGAAAAATGTCTGCATACAGATTTAGAGGAAAAAATGAAATAAAAATGTAAATCCCTACTAAATGCTTTAGAGCAAGACATTCCAAACATGGCGAGATTCATATTATTACATTTATTTTATACAATTCTATTAAACCCAATGAACACAAAGCTGGTAATGGCGTCTTTAGTAGCATGTAGACGCTGAAGCTCAAAAAACACCTAAAGTAGCGTGAATGGACAAAAAATGAAACAGCTGCTAGTGTGCAGGAAGACTTAAAGGTCCACAGGAAACGGGAAGGTGATAGAAAATCACGTATTTTGAGGTTCATATGGGGGAAGGTGATAGAAAATCACGTGTTTTGTGATTTGGGGGAAAATAGAAAATCATATATTTTGTGGTTCATTTGGGGGAAGGTCCATATATTTTGTGGTTCATTTGGGGGAATCCTGGGACAGTCCCCAGATATCGGAGACAATCGGCACAGCCGGCTGCAGCACAGAAAGCTGAATTCATTTTGAAGCTGTTGATCATTGCAACTGTTTTTTTTTTTCTCAGTGCACGCTCAGCAGATGGTACGGGAAATGCTCCACGTCCTGCGTGTACTATGAATATCCTATGTCACATGACCTGCACAATCCATGCTGAGCCTTGTAGTCCCCTAGCTGTCTATAACTGATCCTGGACAGTCCATGCTGAGCCTTGTGTCCCCCAGCTATGTCTATAACTGAGCTTTGTAGTCCCCCTGGACCTAGTCAGTCCATGATGAGCTTTGTGGTCCCCCAGCTATCTATATCTGATTCTGGACAGTCCAAGCTGAGCTTTGTAGTCCCCAGCTGCTAACTGTGATCCTAGACAGTCCATGCTGAGCATTGTAGTCCCCAGCCATCTATATCCTTCTGGACAGTCCATGCTGAGCCTTTTGTAGTCCCACAGTTGACAATATCTGATCCTGGGCAGTCCGTGCTGAGACATTTCGTCCCTCAGCTGTCTATATCTGATCCTGGCCAGTCCATGCTGAGCATTGTAGTCCTCCAGCTATCTGATCCTAGAGAGTCCATGCTGAGACTTGTAGTCCCCCAGCTTTCTATATCTGATCCTGGACAGTCCAGGGTGAGCCTTATAGTCCCCCAGCTGTCAATATCTGATCCTGGACAGGCCATGCTGAGCATTGTAGTCCTTCAGCTATCTTATCCTAGACAGTCCATGCTGAGTTTTGTAGTCCTCTAGCTATCTGATCCTGGGCAGTCCGTGCTGAGACATTTAGTACCTCAGCTATCTATATCTGATCCTGGCCAGTCCATGCTGAGCCTTGTAGTCCCCCAGCTATCTGATCTTTGCCAGTCCATGCTGAGCCTTGTAGTCCCCCAGCTATCTGATCTTTGCCAGTCCATGCTGAGCCTTGTAGTCCCCCAGCTATCTGATTCTGGACAGTCCATGCTGAGTCTTGTAGTCCCCCAGTTGTCTACATCTGATCTGGACAGTCCATGCTGAGCCTTGTAGTGCCCCAGCTATCTGATCCTGTCCATGCTAAGCCTTGTAGTTCCCCGGCTGATTCCAGTCCATGCTGCGTCTTGTAGTGCCCCAGTTGTCTAGATCTGATCCTGGACAGTCCATGCTGAGTCTTGTAGTGCCCCAGTTGTCTATATCTGATCCTGGACAGTCCATCCTGAGCCTTGTAGTCCCCAACCTATCTGATTCTGCCCAGTCCATGCTGAGCCTTGTAGTTCCACAGCTATCTGATCCTGGCCAGTCCATGTTGAGTCTTGTAGTCCCCCAGTTGTTTATATCTGATCCTGGCCAGTCCATACTGAGTCTTGTAGTCCCCCAGTTGTTTATATCTGATCCTGGCCAGTCCATGTTGAGTCTTGTAGTCCCCCAGATGTTTATATCTGATCCTGGCCAGTCCATGTTGAGTCTTGTAGTCCCCCAGATGTTTATATCTGATCCTGGCCAGTCCATGCTGAGGCTTGTAGTTCCCCAGTTGTCTATATCTGATCCTGGCCAGTCCATGCTGAGTCTTGTAGTCCCCCAGTTGTCTATATCTGATCCTGGCCAGTCCATACTGATCTGTCAGTGTCCTCCCTGTGCTGCATCATGCACTGACTCACCCCACCAAGCAGACGACGGCGGCCGCCAGGGCCATGTAGTTGGTCTGGTAGTAGAGCAGGTTGCTCACCACCCTGTTGTTCCATTTGGAGATGTCTTTGAAGTCCGGCCGGCAGAAGCGGTCAGATCCGGGGAAGAAATCATCCCAGGCCCGGAGAGGAGCCACCTGGACGTCCATGTTTCTGCAGCTCTGTCTATCGCTACATCTACGGCGCAAGCGCACTCAGCCCATCCGCAGCTCAATTACTTCATCCAGCTATCTACTGCGCATGTGCACTCAGCCAAGGAATGTAGTGCCATTGAGCACTAGAGGGCGCGCCGTGTTATTACAAGCTGTCATGTTGTGGTTGGCATATGAAAGAGAACCTGTCTGATCTATCTCAGCGTTCCTAATGCTGGGCTGACCAGACATATGTCAATCCAAATTATTCAGGAATTGTATACATTTTGATTAGATTAAAGCCGGAGTTCCACCTGAAAAAAAAAGAAATAAAAACACTACAGTACAAACACTGTAGCTGCTGACTTTTAAAATACAGCCACTTACCTGTCCCTCGGTCCCGCAGTGTCCTCACCACTGCTGGTTTCACTGGCCATCTTCTTTCCCTGGCGCTGGCATCTTCAGTGTGGGCACCCGGCTGTGACAGCTTGCAGGAGAAGCGCTGCGTTTTGTGAATGGCCCCGGAGTCTTCTGGGACCTGTCACGTGTCCCAGAAGACTATGGGGTGGGAGGACAACTTCCGCTTCTGATCACCTAGGCAATCGCAGCGGAAGTGGAAGCAGGTATCTGTCAAATTCGGGTACCCCCCGCTCCCCAAAGGTGCCAATCCTTCATGGGGAGTGGGGGACAAAGGCTTAAAGCAGAACATCCCCTTTTTTAGGTGGAGCTCCGCTTTAAGTTATTATCCATTAGTATTCACTACCATTTGATTTGACAAGACTGAACTTAAAGTGTTACTAAACCCACAATAGTGAAATCAGTCTGTATATGCAGAAAAACATGTTTGTTATACTCACTGTGGAACCTAAGGGGTTAATCCTCTGCATTGTGTAAAAAGGCTGTTTGATCCTGTCTTCTCTGCTTCTCCTCTTGTTCAAATGTCCACGTCTTATCTTCTGATAAGACAGACTGAACCGTAGCCATTCTGCACATGCTCAGTTTGGTGTATATTGCTAGAAAGCAGTGACGGACTGACCATGCGAGCACTCGGGCACTGCCCAAGGGCCCGGGGTCAGTAGGGGGGCCCCATGAAATGCCCCTGGTACCTTTTATAGGCTTTTTTGGGTGTGCTTTGAGTGTGGGCAAGGACACATGGGCTCCATGATCCCCTATTGCCCGGGGGCCCCATGAGTTGTCAGTCTGCTCCTGCTAGAGAGGTTTTTTTTTTTTCTTGGGAGAGTGCATGTGATCAGCACAGGGCCAACCAGCACTGTCCAGACAGAGGTCAGGGGTTCTGCATCCTGCTAGAGCAGAAAGAAAACTCTTCCTACAAGCACTAACCACCCGAAAATGCGCATGCATGGTTCGGTGTACGCTAAAGTGGAATAAAACTTACCTTTCCTTCAGTGGTTCCTCTCCGGAGTCAGCATCTTCTGCTAGGTGCCAGTCTTGGGCTGTCTTCATTGGCCAGAGCGAGATGACGTCACTTATGCACATGTTCAGGAGTCATTCATCCCAGTACACAAGGACAGTGCCAGTGCTGTAAGCTGAGCTGCACATGCACAGTTCCCAACTGTCCCTGATTTCAAGGGACTTCCCTCATTTGGAACATAGTCCCTCTGTCCCTCTTTCCTCATAATTTGTCCTTCATTTTGGTCTGATGTACTGTATATAGTTGTATATAAAATGCATTATTTATCTATCAAAAAGTGTTTTACAGTGCTAAAATTGCTGCAACTATTTGAGGGTTTAACCAACACTTTTTGTTGTCTAATTCTCTTATAAGGGGGCGTGGCAGGGGTGTGTGTCCTAAGCCTGCATACTTTTGCTGATAAGCGTCCCTCGTTCCCATCTCAGACAGTTGGGAAGTAAACACGTGACAGCTCAGTTTACATGCCGCAAAAAAACAGCAAGAAGGCAGGTAGGTGAATTTTATTGCAGAAGAGGCATTGCATGTCTCTTCTACAATAAAGTGCCTCCTGCTCACAGTTTTCAACAGCAGGACTTTACTTCTAGTTTTAAAAAACATTGCCGGCAGCCAGATAAGAGGAGATATAGGCCCCTTTCACACGGGAGTTACATTTTTTTCATCACTTCAGTCACGTTTTTTCCCAAGAAAAAAATGATCAGTTCACATCATTTTTTCATCCGTTTTGCATCAGTTTACATCTGTTTTTCATTAGTTTTCATCCATTTTTATCTGTTTTTCATCCATTTACATTAGTTTTCGTCCAATTACATCCAGTTTTTTGTCCGTTTACATCCAATTTTGTCTGTTTACATTCGTTTTCATCCATTTACATCCGTTTTTGTCCGTTTACATCCATTTTTGTCCGTTTACATCCATTTTCGTCCATTTACATCCGTTTTGTGTCCATTTACATCCGTTTTCGGTAGTTTAAATCTCTTTTTGTCTGATTACATCCGTTTTTTGTCCGGTCCTTTTTTTTGTTTTAACTGAAAAAAAATAAGGTTTGCTTCCGTTAAAAAAAAAGTATGTTAACGGAGGCGGACATTAACAGATGTAAATAGATGATCACCCGTTTACATCCGCTAGTCCATAGAAATACATGGGTGTCCGTTTTTCATCCATAAACGTACAGAAGAAAAACAGACACATGGAACGCCCATGTGAAAGGGGCCATACAGGTGTGTGCCCAGGTTAAATGCCATCTGAGGCAGCCATATTTGTTACCCTTCCCCTCCCCTCTAAGCCCCATAGAAACAATCAAAAACTTGTATGATCTCTAGTGGGAGTCCCAATTACCACGGCAACTCCATGCATCCATGTTTGATGTCCCCCATTGGTTACTAGGATAATGACACAGCAACCAATGAAGCTATGGTCTGGCAGCAGGTTTCTAATGAAGCTGTGCATCATTGGTTGCTAGAATTCAGGTGAGAGGGTTGTTAGTTGCTAGGGTGCAGGTAGCCAGGCTGCACAGTGTTATTGGTTGCTTGGATGCAGGTGGCTGGGCTGCACAGCTTTTTGGTTGATGGAATGCAGGCTGCTGGGCTGCACAGCATGTTTGGTTGCTATCATGCAGGTGGCTGCTCCGCACATCACTGGTGGTGCTGTTGTCCTAGCAACCAGCTCAGTTACGCTGTCCTGTGTACTGTGTATGCAACCATTGATGCCGTGGCCTTGGCTGACAGTATTCTAGCAACTAATGGAGCTGTGCATCATTGGTTGATAAAAGAGCAGGTGGCTGGGCTTTCACAGTGTCATTAGTTGCTAGGATGCAGGTGGCTAGGCCATACAGCACCACTGGTTGTTGAAATGCAGGAGGCGCCAGTGTCCTAGCAACCAGGTCAGTGGCACTGCCCTGTGTATGCAACCATTGATACTGTGGCCTTGGTTGACAGTATTCTAGCAACCAATGGAGCTGGGCATCATTGGTTGCCAGGATACAGGTGGCTGGGCTGCACAGCATCACTGGTTGTTATGATGCAGGTATCGCCAGTGTCTTAGCAACCAGCTCAGTGACACTGCCCTGTGCATGCAGCCAGTGATGCTGTGGCTTGGCTAACAGCTTTCTATCAACCAATGGAGCTGTGCATCATTGGTTGCTAGGATGCAGGTGGCTGCCTTGCAGTGTGACGGGTCACTAGGATGCAGTCAGCTAGACTGCTCAGCATCATTGACTGTTAGTGCCCTAGCAACCAGCTTGTTAGCGCTCCATGGTTACAGCAAGGATGGAGCAGACACAGCTACCTCTCACCAGGTGCTTCCTGAGGTGGTCTCCTCAGCTTTCCTCATTGGCAGTAAATCCCTGAATACAGAACCTCCTCTGCAATAAAACCTTGCCTGCAACGTATTTTAAACACGAATTTAGTTCCACTTTAATAGGCCATGAGTTCTTTTCATCTATCTGTATTTATTTCTATACATTGGCACATCAAATCGGAGCACGGAAGAGGAAATGCAACCCAGGAACAGCGGCGCATTCTACCGACTACACAATGTTGCTTGGATTGTCTGTTGTTAATAAAGTTAATTTAAAGAAATAAAAAAAAGACACCAGAAGACGGCTCGGAGCCGGGAAACAGCTTGTGGTCTGTCAGCTCAAACCCCGCCCCTTTCCCCCGAGCCCCGGTGCACTGTGGGAAGGCTGAGGTGAATATGGCGGATGCTGAAGAGCCGTGAGTATCCGTGTGTGTGTCCAGCTAGGGTCCCCTCTGTGTCCCAGGCCGGGAGGGTGAGACCCTTCTTTTATTCTCTCTCTCTCTTTTTAGGGAGAAGAAAAGAAGGCGGATAGAAGAGCTCTCTGACAAGTTAGTGCTGGCACAGGGGAGGTGTTAGAACATGGACAGAGGAAACCCCCTCAGACAATGCCCAGGATACCCATAGGGAGACAGAGAGGCGGGGCCACCTGTCAGTCACGTGACCTGTAGACCATCACCACACTGAGGAGCACATAATACTGACCAATGGGGCTTCACTGGACCTTAGAGTGCAATGATTGGTCCATTTTAAGGGCATGTCCACCTGAACGAAAATGTGAGCCAGGATGGTTACTTTGTGTGGTTTGGGCCTCACTTACGCATCCTCACTGCAGTGTATGGTAGAGTGTTATCGTGCGTCCGGTGGCGAGGTGCGTTGGGGTGCTGTCAGTTCACCTATACACAAAAAATGTAAAGATGAACAAATCCTTGACACCCCCACCCTTGGTTCTACCTCCGGGGTTGCAGAGCTGCCAGCACCCCCGCAGCAGGTCTAGCCATTGGGGGATTTGAAATCCCCGCTCTTCACCATCAGAACAGCCAGCTCAATTTTGACTGATCAGCACTATCCCTGTGATGGCACTGACCAATCAGAATCGATCTGGTCCATTCTGGAATTGCTGACAGAGAAGAGCAGGGGTTTCAAATCTCCCGACCGCTGGACCCATTGCAGGGATGCTGGCAGCTCAGGATCGCCGGAGGTAAGTACAGTGGAGACCAGAGGGTGTCTGGTGTTAGTTGAGCTTCACATCTTTTCTGTAAAGGTGAACTAACCCCATTAAGAATGAATTGCACCAAAAAAACATAAGTGTGCACAATGGTGTGAATGGAGCTTCATTGTTGGGGCAAGAATAGATTGCCTTTTAAAGTGTTACTAAACCCACAACAGTAAAATCAGTCTGTATATGCAGTAGCGTATGCTTGTTATACTCACTGTGGAACCTAAGGGGTTAATCCTTTGCATTGTGTAAAAAGGAAGTTTGATCCTGTCTTCTCTGATCCTCCCCTTCTACTGTCCCCAATCCATCTGCCATAGTACAGAACAGCAGTGGCATGTCTGCACATGCTCAGTTTGGTGTGTATTGCTAGAGATGTCTTTTTTTTTTTCCTTGGGAGGGTGCATGTGATCAGCGCAGGGCCAATCAGCACTGTCCAGGCAGAGATCGGGGGTTATGCAGCTTCATAAGACAGTCAGAAAAAAATGAAAACTCCTACAAGATTACCCAGTGCTCAGCTGTACACTGATAGAAGTCACAAGACTGCTATATACTGCTGATGAGAAAAGGTATTTAGCAGTTTATATTTACTAAAATAACTGCACTTCCATGTTCTGTGTACTGTGGGAGAACAAATATAGTGAATGCAGGGTCCGGGGAGACCAGATATAGTGAATGCAGGGTCCGGGAGACCAGATATAGTGAATGCAGTCCGGGGAGACCGGATATAGTGAATGCAGGGTCCGGGGAGACCAGATATAGTGAATGCAGGGTCCGGGGAGACAGATATAGTGAATGCAGGGTCCGGGGTTTAGTAACACTTTAAAGTGTGTTCATGTAAATGATCCATCTCTGCTATAAATGCACATTTGTTTTATCCCATTAAAGAGGTATTCCAGGTATGGATATTTTATACATAGTTACATAGCTTCAGCTTGGACCAGTGTAATGTAATTATGTATGTAACCATAACTGGCTGGTGCCCCTGGAAGCTGGAAACCACGTAGAGTGTGACATTACCACCCCCCCTCTTCATCTCATCCAATCAGAGAATGCTTTGTATTTATTCAGAAAATGCAAAGCAATCTCTGAATGGTTCTGGTGGCAAGCAGCTCACCTCCTGTGTTCCGAATGCAGCAGGCCAGCTGCTTGGCACGGAACCCGAAAGCAAGTGGAGATCACTGGAGTAGCGGTGCTGTGAATAATTCTTTAACCACCTCCCACCCGCCATATAGTCCAATGATGGGCGCAAGGTGGTTCTCTCGTTCTGGGAGGACGTCATATGATCTCCTCCCATTCTCACCACGCATGCGCGGCTCAGGGAGCGCGCAGCGCGGTGATTGGCGGTGCGCTGTGTTCCTTGGACACAGCGGATCACCAATCCACAGAAAGATCCGAAATGTCAGCTCGGTCCAATCACAGCTGATCACATGTAAACAGGGAAATGCCGGTTATCAGCATGTCTCTCCTCATGAGCTATCAAGCTGACAGCTCGAGAGGAGAGGAGAGCCGGTAATCGGCATTCCGCAGAGCTCTGATGATCAGTGTAGCCCCAGCAGTGCCACCTGTCAGTGACCATCAGTGCCACATATCAGTGCCTACCAGTGCACATCAATGCCACATATCAGTGCCCATCTGAGCTGCTTGTCAGTGCCGCTTAACAGTGCCAGTCAGTGCCGCTTAACAGTGCCACCTATCTGCCAGTCAGTGCCATATATCAGTGCTGCCTTTCAGTGCCCATCAGTGATGCCTGTCAATGCCCATCAGTGCCACCTACCAGTGCCTCCTCATCAGTGCCCATCCAGTGTGTGTCTATCAGTGCCCATCACTGCAGCGCACATCAGTGAAGTAGAAAAATCACTTATTTACAAAATTTTATAACAAAAGCTAAGAAAAAACATTTTTTTTTTTTCAAAATTTTCAGTGGTTTTTGGTTTGTTTAAGAAAAAATAAAAAGCCCAGAGGTGATTAAATACCACCAAAATAAAGCTATATCTGTCTCAAAAAAATGATACAAATTTCATATGGGTACAGTGTTGCATGACCGCGCAATTGTCATTCAAAGTGCAACAGCGCTGAAAGCTGGAAATTGGCCTGGGCAGGAAGGGGGTATAAGTGCCCTGTAGGCTTGTGGTTAAAGGGGAACTGTACTAGTTGAGCAGTTAGACTTGTTGGCTTCTGATGTCTTTACCATCTCCACTACACGGAGATCTGCACTGTGAATGCTGCTTGTCACACAGCCCCTTCAAATTCATCACTGGCAGTTCTTCCCCCCCGAGCATTCAATGCTAAGGTTGGGTTTGTACTTCAATGGGACAAGCAGAGTGTGGATTTCCATAATATTATTTGGAGTTTGCTGTGAGCATGCATGGGATGAGATGCAGTGCAGGTGTAGCTTTGGTGCCCTTTTAACTGCTGTTTATACTTGACCCATGTCACACTAGCAATCCTGGTACTACCAGAGAGAGAGAGAATACATTCATCTGTCCCTATGGCATTGTTCCCTTTCTTGGCTGAAGCAGAAAGGTGTTGCTTCCTCATTGCTGACTGGTGAGCCAAATTCTGCACCTTTTTGGCCAGCAAGGAGGCGACGCTTGTAGGATCAGGTGAGTGTTCTCTTTAGCAATCTGTTGCTGGAGACTTATCACCAGCAACAAGACTGCGAGTATGACACAGCACTTCTGGTGATTATTATTGTTGTTTGAAGAGTCAGACTACCAAAAAAGACATTCATGATTCTCATAAAAGATTGTGGTACAATGTTTAAATAAAAAAAAATTAAGAATTATTTTATACCTGATGGAGCAGTAAAGAGCCTGATTGTTTATTATTAGGAGGATTAAACATCAGCACAGACGTTCCCCTATAGTGTGGGAGGGATATCTGAGGGTGCACTGGGAATGGAATTATCAGTGAAGCCAAGTCAGTTCCATCTTTTAGTATAGTGAGCTATTTATTCTTCAGATTCAGGCAGAATTTGGTCATTTTCTTGTCCTCCTTTGACATCCAGTGCTACTAAGTTACAAGAAGGGTAGGAGTGTCTGTCACTGTGAAAGCGCATGACTGGGCAAACACAAATGTAAACAGGCTAGGCCTAGGATGACATTTTGAGCTTTGAAATCAAAATTGCACTGTTTAGGACAGTTCAATATTTGGGATGGGAAGGGGGGAACCTTAGGCCAGCTATAGCTCCAGGAAGTGGCTTCCAGTTCCAGGAGGTGGTCAGGAAGGGAAACTGTTTTATTCAGGTACAGCACACACCAGTAAGACAATAACACAACTTTGGTAGTCTGGCAAGCTGCACCGCAGGTATAATTGGTTTTACTTTCCTGGAGCTCGTCTTTCCCAAAAACTCAACTGTCAGTTTTTAGTGAAGTGACCCTTTAAATATCCTTAGAAATTTGAATCATCCCTCTCGGTTGTCTCTGCTCTCAATGTATAGTGTCCTTATTACATCAGGCAACTTAAAAGGCCATTCCACCCAGAACTTATATTAGAATAGTTTTTGAATGCTGGTGGGCTGAGCCTTGCTTCTAGTTTTTTTACATCTCTTTGGAAATTTTGAAGTACAATCTACCCGGCCTTACCAGAGTGTTGGCTGTCCATATACAGCTTGAATATCAGGTGATTCCTGCTGAATCTGCTGAATTTTGAGCCAAATATTCACGTATCCACATCACAGATATACACTATATTGGAAAAAGTATTGGGGAGCTTGCATTTACACGCAGATTAACTTTAATTGGCATCCCAGCCTTAGTCTGTAAGGTTCAGTATTGAGTTGGCCCACCCTTTGCAGCTATAACAGCTTCAACTCTTCTGGGAAGGCCGTCCACAAGGTTTAGGAGTGTGTCTATGAGAAGGTTTGATCATTCTTCCAGAAGTGCATTTGTGAGGTCAGGTACTGATGTCAGATGAGAAGGCCTGGCTCACAGTCTCCGCCCTAATTCATCCCAAAGGTGTTCTATGGGGTTGAGGTCAGGACTCTGTGTAGGTCAGTCATGTTCCTCTACCCCAAACGCGCTCATCCATGTCTTTATGGATCTTGCTTTGTGCACTGGTGTGCAGTCAAGTTGGAACAGGAAGGGGACATCCCCAAACTGTTCCCACAAAGTTGGGAGCATGAAATTGTCCAAAATGTCTTGGTATGCTGATGCCTTAATAGTTCCCTTCACTGGAACGAAGGGGCCAAGCCTAACCCATGAAAAACAACCTCGCACCATAATCCCCGCCCCCCCCCCATCAAACTTTACACTTGGCACAATGCGGTCAGGCAAGTACCGTTTTCCTGGCAATAGTCAAACCTAGAGACATCCGTTGGATTGCCAGACAGAGAAGTGTGAATCGTTACTCCAGAGAACACATCTCCACTACCCTAGAGTCCAGTGGTGGCGTGCTTTACACCACTGCATCCAACGCTTTGCATTGCACTTGGTGATGTAAGGCTTGGATGCAGCTGCTCGGCCATGGTAGCCCATTCCATGAAGCTCTCTATGCACTGTTGTTGTGCTAATCTGAAGGCCACATGTAGTTTGGAGGTCTTTAACTATTGACTCCGCAGACAGTTGGGGTCTTGAGGAAGCCTGTGTCTAAACAAGCGGATGAAACGCGTTGACAGTAGCTTCCACAATCATGGAGTCCTTGGTACTGTGACTTGATGTCTGGCGAGTACTGTCATGAATGGCGGTGAAGCGGGGCTGAGTACTGGAAAGTCCTTTCTGCACATGTGCTTTACACCACTGCATCTGACGCTTTGCATTGCACTTGGTGATGTAAGGCTTGGATGCAGCTGCTCGGCCATGGAAACCCATTCTATGAAGCTCTCTATGGACTGTTGTGCTAATCTGAAGGCCACATGAAGTTTGGAGGTCTTTAGCTGTTGACTCTGCAGACAGTTGGCGACTTCTGCGCACTGTGTGCTTCAGCATGCACTGACCCCGCTGTCATTTTATGTGGCCTACCACTTCATGGCAGAGTTGCTGTTGTTCACAGTTGCTTCCACTTTGTTATAATACCACTAACAGTTGACCGTGGAGTATTTAGTAGCCAGGAAATGTCACGGATGGACTTACTGCACAGGTGGCAACCTATCACAGTACCACGCTTGAATTCACTGAGCTCCTGAGAGCGACCCATCCTTTCACAAATGTTTGTAGAAGTAGTCTGCATGCCTAGGTGCTTGATTTTATACACCTGTGTCCATGGAGGTGATTGCAACACCTGAATCCAATGATTTAGAGGGCGGGGACAATACTTTTGCAATTTAGTGTATATTCACATTGCTCTGCTTCCTTACAAATACATGAATTTTTTATTTAACGCAAAACAGTTAATATGCTTGACAATGGACCCATTTATAGAACTTAAAGCAAATAAATACTCATTTGTTGCTTTTAGAAACTAATTGTAATCCAGCGGACATATTTCAAAGACAGGTGAGAATGCTAAAGGTAACATTTCATTGGTTATTATGAGTGGTTTTTATAGGTCAGCCTGGAAATAGAAGCCACAATTGTGTGCTTGGATCACAAAGTACCTCCAACATTTTTGTTTAGGTGGACATCCTCATTTTGTTATACTGATATAGTATTAATGCTCTGTTATTTTTCTTTATGTATTTTGTTGTTTACAACTTTCTTTATATGTTGTTTTCCTTTCTGTTTTCCCTTTTTGTTTTGAGACTTTTCAATATTTTTTGAACTCTTTCAGCCATTTAAAAATACTTGACTTTATTATTGGCGATAAAACAATAATTGGCTATTATTGCATGTTATTACTTAAGGGTATGTCTTATTTTTCTCTTAACACCCCAATGTTTTAGAAATATTCAGTTTGTGATTTGTTTTAACAAGTATATATGTAAAGCTTTCTGAAGCTCATCAGAAATATAAAGGAAACCTTATTTTAAAGAACATGAAGGTTGTAGTTAGTGATTTTTAAGAGCTCGTTCATATCAGCGGATGGGCATTATACTTGGTATAATGTGTGC